TTCCAGTGAGTAACTAACACACTCGCCTTCGTAAAGTGCTCCGATAAATTCCCGTAAATCTCTTACCTGGCTTCAAGATTAAAGTTTTGGTCCTTTGTATCGATCCTTGAAACCTAGGTAGCATTAAAACTGCCAGCTTTTCCTTCCAACTGTAGGTTTGTATATAAAGCAGATTTACACGTTCCTCATCTGTGTCGAGCGTGACCGTCACATACTTCGATGTTCTTTGTATTACTGACCATTGTTTTCCTCGAAGCCGGTTTACTCATGTAGACTCCTCTTGAAAGGTTTGTAGAAGCACTCTTTTGGACAACTCTCGGCACACACACATGTATGAACAGTAAACGGTGATTCGGGAAGCCAAGGAAGGATTGATAAATGCCACGGCCATTTCTTGATAAATGCCACACTTATTTCTTGGGCAGTTGATTATTTTACTCGCCGTTTATCTGTTCCTATATTTCGTGGCCGGATTTTCCGAATGCATAATTAAAGCTCAAATGAAAGGTCAATCTCAGCTACAGTATCTTTAGCAATTTTTGTTTACTGGACGTTAATTTGTTAAAATAACACTGCTCTTTGCTGATAATTCTGTAACAGTTTTTGTTTACAGTTCTATAAATGTTTGTTCCGTGCGGTAAAAACGAGTCTAAACTTAATTTTTTAAGAATCCCAGTTTAGATCAAATGAAGGTAAATTTTACAAATCAGAATGAACGGCGCTTACCTTTCTTCGCAGAAACGGCCATCAAAGTCAATGACATTACAAAGTAAGCGATTAAATTCATTACGAGATTTTTTTCCCCTGGCAAGTGGCTTTGCTATTCAGTAAAAGTCATTACTCAACCCATATTCCGTGACTTTCTACCCAGCAGAGAAGTTTTAATTAATTATTGATCAGTTTACCCCTTATTTAACGTCCTTAACAAATATGGAGGGGCGGGTGGGAGGCATTTTTAAACACAGCCTACTCGAGTCACATATTGTTTCAACTGTAGCAAATTTTTCATCACTAAATGTTAAACCAAAAACCAACATTTCGTTTGTTTATTTGCAAAAGTAATCTAGCAATAACTTCAGTAACATTCATTGAATTCAAGTACCTGTTAGGATCTGTTAAAAATACACAGGGGCGGTACGTCATGGTTGGTGAGCTTATCCGCTGTCTCATTTACGAAATAAAAAGTTTAAAACCCTGGCCATGCTAACCGGGCTCGCAAGTAGTCGCAAGTCATCATAAGTTGAACTTGCGTAGACACTTGCGTTGGGTGGCCAAACGGACTCGCAAATTTCCACGCAAGTACACGCAAGTCGAAAACAAAAAACATTTCCAGGCTACGGGCTTTGTTCCGCGTGGCCAAAATGAAAGACATATCCTGTATTCCATTGGCTAATAGGTTGCTGCAGCAACGAATGGACGTCATTCAACTTGCGTTGACTTGGGTTGGGCGGCTAAACCGTCAAGAACTTACGTCGACTCGCGTGCAAATTTGATCTCGACCAAAGTGAGCACAAGTCATTGCCAGTGCACGCAAGGCCTGTCCAAACGGAATCGCAAGTAAACCCAACTTTTTAACTTGCGTCTACTCGCGAGTCGGTTTTCTCAGGGTGGAACAAGCGAACGAGATTGTTTTCTAACAGGTGAGCTTTTGAGCCTTTAACAATTAGAAAATAGAGATCGTCCAAGCGAACAATTAAGTAAACCGCAATTAGAGAAAACGAGAAAATAGAAAGCGAAAACGTCTCGAAAGCAATAACTTTCGAATGTAGTGATAAGTTTCCATGGTTGTTAGCGAACGTTTTTTCATTCTTTTAAAAGCATTTTCAAAGCAACGACACCCTGAAAAAATACGTCCGCCCTGCGCACATATGTGGGTTTAGTGTCCTATGGCGTAGTTGAATTTGACAGCTCTTTAAGAAAGACCGGCGGGGTTCTTATTGAAAACGGTGGTGTGTGAAGATTATTATTAATTCCTCGTGTACTAAGTTTAGTTTGGTTTTGAGTTTCGAGAGGAAGCACATTGTAAAAAAAACATCTTGGAATCAGTGGTGGAGTTTTATTACAAAAAGAACCTTTGAAGCGGCTCTGTTGTACATGGACGCAGAAGACAATTTGTTGACACTGCACGAGCAGTATCTCTCGGCTTAATTTACACTTTCTGAATTGACCTTTTAGATTCAATACAATACAATAAATCAAAGAGAAAATTAAGGGAAATTTAGCGTCAGTGTAAATCGCCTAACCGAAACTGAGAAACGTTGCCCGACGTGTTTTTCTCTTAATTTCACCCGAAAAGTACTCTGCTATACACAACTCACTTAGCGCCCTTAGATTTCTTGAAGCGTTGTGCGCATCTTTCAAACGACATATACGTCTAGCTATGAAAGATCTTCAGAGAAATGGAGGGTTTTTTTATAATTAAGCCCTTTGGTCCACTATACTGTATGCAAAAGAACAAGATCGTTTTACATTAGAAGCCTGGGTGCCAATTGTCTTCCAGTAGCTCTAGAAATAACGTGCAGTGTCATATGAATGCTCCTTAAATTAGGTGAAAGTCTGAAGAGAAGAGTGAACCCACAATATTTACTTGTTACCTTCTTACCCATGATCATTAGAGCGCCGGCGAGATAAGAGAAAGGGACACCGATGAATGAAATTTGCAAGAGAAGGGCTTGGCAGGAGAAAGGCCGAGTCTAACAAAGATATTCAGACACGCATTAGACCTAGAACTTGACGATCAGTTGATATTGTAATGAATAGCGTGTTTTGATTGCCTCTTGTCAGTTTGCTTTTTGGTTTTGCACTGAAGTTGATAAGATCTTGTAAAGAAAACCAGATGCTGAAAGTACCAACCTGAGAGGCATGAATTGAACCTTAAAGCAATTAACCCTGTTAACTCTATTTAACTCTTTGCTAGCTTTTCGCTCTTCACAGGAATCTTACATTAGGAACGCAAAGAATGGACGCACAGGAATCCTCACAGAAGAATCTTACATTAGGAACGCGAAGAATTCTTACACAGAAATGCAGCGAAGGCTTGCATATATCTCGAGCCCACGTGGCTTTGGTCACTTGGACGCGAGGCAAAAAGGGGAGCCTTGTCAATTTACAATTAAACATCTGGTTCGCTGTAAACGGCGAATGAGATCACCGACAGAGACGGAGTGAAATTATACACTGGTTGACTTACAGAACAACAAAGCACAGTGTGGAAATAGATATGTGCGAAGCTTGAAAACTTCATCAAAAAATAATATCTCCATCAGCTTTTTGTAATGAATTTCTTCATTTACCTTCTGTTGCCAATGTTGTCCTGCACTGTTATTAGTGAGAGAAAAGGTAAGAGCCCGATTTTTTGTTAGGTGGTTAAATGCCTTTTGTTTAGCGTTAGTTGGAAGGTTTGCACACAATTTTAGCCGAAAAAGGTCAATGTTGCCCACGCCATTTTTTGAGTTCCTGGGTGGAGTGGTGTAAAGGCTAAAAGCACACAGTAAGACACAAGAACTCTCAGGAAATCGTTGTTAAGTCTTTGAGCTCCAACATCGAGTGGGGAGGGAAAGTTTTGATCAATGGAGTTGATTGCCCTACCGTTAGATCGAAGCGACTTTGATAACAACCAGCTCTTTTCGCTCGGCTTGGCGCTTGGAGACACGCGACTTTCCGCCCTCCTCCCCCCTAATGTCGCTTGTTTGTTTCGCCGACAATTCTCCGATAATCGTAAGCGTAATGTCGACCAGCTTCGATTTAATTCCCTCAGAGTGACTTACAACAAAAGCCTTTTGTATAGAGGAGGCTGATCCGGAACAATAGGCCATTTCTTCATACGAAGCCGGAGAAAAACCCTCGGAGGAAAACCTTAGCCCAATAAGCTCGATCCACATATGAAGCCAGCCTCAGGATTCCATGCAAGATCACAAGGAGGGAGATGACCGCTCTCACCATTTAACCATTCCTGCTCCCACGAGTCATTTCAGATGTGCTTGTCGTCTTCCTGGTTTACCGCATAGGTTTCTGGGTCTTGTGGCATGTGTGTTGTTCTGCTTGTTCGCCTGCGGCAATTGCCTCTTTATTCCCTGGATTTTGAATTACAATCCACCCAGGTAAATTTTTATTTATTTCAGAACCCACCTTTCGAAACTCGCTTTTCTTTCAGTTGTGAATCCAATACTGAAAGAGGAAGGGGGAATCAAGAGACCAGGTTATACATTTCGAATAATGACAATGTCACCGGTGATTTTTTTGGTATTTAAATGCTACCTGCTAAAAACGCGCATATTTTGCAGCTTGTTTCTAATATCGCTCGTTTTCACTACGTGGAATTGTTTATCGATGTTTCATCCTGTCCACGGCATATGCCAAGCTTGTTTTTTTTTTCTCTTTTGCAAGAAGTTGGATAAAACGAGAGTCGCTGGAACCAGACTGCTTTATTCACCAGTGGTCATTTCGTTATGAATTTGATCATTTGTTTTTCGATCTCCCTGTCGTACTTGATTTCTGCGGATGAAGGTGAGAAAAAAACATGTCTTTCTTTCTCTGCGGAAAGTACAGACCACTTGTGCAGGCTTTTTGCTGTCGAGGTACGCCACAGTTGAAGACCTTAAGAGCCTCAAATGGCTTCCCATCAAGGAACGCTTGGAATGGACTATAGCTAGATTAGCCCACAAATCTATGTACAGTGAGGACTGTCCCGTAAAACTTAATCAACATGTTGTAGGCACATACAATCTCAGATCACTGACCACTCTAAGGCTTAAATTAGGAAGTAAATATGAAATAGGTACCTTCCGAAACCACGCAGCCAAGGCATTTAACAGTTTACCCTCCGAAATAAGGAATTGTAGAGACTATGTACAGTTTTCTTGTAAAACCAGAAATTATCTAGCACAAGGGAATAATATATTGCATAACTTGTTATTTTGAGCTGTAGTTTCGTTTTGCTGTAACTCACTTGAGCCACCGGATAAGTGTTAGCCATCGGGCATCGAACTGCTTATGTTTCTTTCGTTTAGTTTCATGTTTCATGTTTCATGTTTGTTTGACGAATGGAATTAAATCACGGTTGTGACTAAAGCGTCGCCTGATACTTTGATAACGGTGAATTGTACGACGAGCGAAACAAACCCGATGACAGTGACGAATGGCTGAAGACGCCAAGAGTCAGAGACGCGACGCGAAATTAAAGGCCGTTGTACGAGAAAACTCAACGAACTCAGGAAATCACTCGATGACGATAAAGGAGTAGAGATCGTCAAACGAAATTACGATGAGTTAACCGAGGCTTGGAGGAACGTAGAATTCAAACATGATACGTACATGATATTTCTAGAAGACAGCGAAGTGGTAGCGAACGAAGAGTGTATATTCGCTATGCAAATGCAAATAGACTGAGGCAAAGTAGACTACGAGTAGTCCCTCTTTCGCTTAGTCCGTCGTGCGTGACGCGAAAGAAAACCGCGAGAAA